AGGAATAATATTCACTAGTGGTAACTTTTGATGATAAGTTACTATACCAACCAAAGTTTTTATCATTTTCATCCCTGTTCGTTGGACAACAGCACCCTGTGTCACCCACATGATCCTTTCCAGCCCTCCGGCATTTCTTGGTTCCCTAGAGCAACCCCTGAGCTGAAGCTTTCTGTCCTTAGTCTTTCCCCAGAATGTTTCCTTGTCCCCCAAACCCCAAAAATTACAGAGAAAATCCATTCAGTCATTTTTGGGTTATCAGACTATGGAAATCTTGTTTTTCAAGTTTCAGAAGATTGTTGAGCTACTTTTTTTTTTTCTTCTCTCATTTCAGATCACTAAAACTCATCTGGACCCATGACATCAACCTTGGCATGTCTGAAGAATGAGGAACAAGGATTTTGCCTTGTTTGGAACCGAAAGAGAGGAATATCCATTTTCCCTCTTTTTTCCATTTTTATGGAGACAGTATTTTTTGCTTTTAGCTGGATGATGTATACTTTTAACATTCCAGGAAAAAAAGTGTCAGTGATATGCACGTCATAACAAAAGAAAATCAAAAGAAATGAAATTACAAGGAACAGGGAACTTCATCATTTTGAGTATGAAATGCCTGGAGGAAAATCTAATTTAAAAAATTACCAGCACCATGTAAATGAGAGAGAATATACAAAAAGATGTGTTATATTAAAAATTAACTTAATCTTTCTGGCTCTCGGACTTTACCCCTTATTTTTAAAGGCCAAAAATTATCATTTGGTGCTGGATAAAGAGTAAAGCTCACACTAATATAATGTAATACTAACAAGTAACAACAGATCCTCCTGGTCTCTGCCTGTTGGCTGGGACATAACAGGACACAAAAAAAGTTGTTAAATTAAGAGTGAATGCTTATCGAGAATGAAACAATAGCCTTCTCTTTCTCATGATTACAAAGGTATCTATTGTAAATGAAAAAAAAAATTCACATGGCATACTGTATTTGATAAAATGCCTCATTATCTATCAACTGGTTTGACCTTCATGAAAACCCACAGTTAAGTTATGACCATTTTACAGATGATCAAGAATATGTTTAACTTTTTCAAGGACACGTGGTTACTTGACGGTGGAACCAGGAGTCAAGCCCAGAATTCTGACATAATGTATCTTGCCTTTCAACCTTTCACAAGGCCTCCCTAAACACTGGGATGACTCCCATCTATTTAGCTTGTACGGAGCCAGGATATCGTAGCTTGAATACAGCAGTGACTTACCCCCTCGTAACATCTCTGTCTCTTTGGAAAAGTTTAAACTCTGAGGAAAAAAAATCAAGCTTATTTATATCATAAATCTTGGCTGTCAACAGAGGGCTTTGGACTTGTCTCTGCCTAAGTTGCTCTTCTAGCTCAGTGAGATTTAACTCTGCCACCTTCAACCCATATTAAAAGAAACTGGAACCATTCATACGTTTAGAGTGAGAGTCCAAATAATAATGCAATAACACAGCCTTCCTTTAAAACCTTCTTCTTGAGGGAATCTCCAATTTTCCTTTCAGGCATGAAAAATAGCACTGTTCTCACAGTGGCCTGGCAGAGGGTTAGAGCGAGGAAGGGAGGAGGTGCCACTAATAATACTGATTTCTAGCCAATTCTCTAGTTTTGGTTTGGAATCAAGCACAATGCTGAACTATATGGCTCTCTACAGAAAGGGCTCTCATTTCATAAGGCTTTTAGATTTGGGGAGAGAAGTTTCCTTTGTCCAGATGTGATTTTGTGCCCACTTTGCTTGAGTCAGCCTCAAAATGAAAGAAATGGATACCTGGTAGAAAGATTTCTCTCCTCTTCCTTCAGCAGCATCACTTCCAGAGTGGATGCCACAGAAAGTACCTGCTCTCACCTTCTAGCAAAAGTGGTGGGCCCAGAGGGGCCCAGAGAAAAGCAGGAAAATTACTTTTGTCCATCAGACATTATAATAATTTTTCTTCTTCTATTGCTATGTTTATCTACCCTTTTTTTTTCTTCCCATATCCCTCTGAATTTGCCATCCCCTCACTTTCTCTTAGCGTTTGTCTTTGATCCTATCAGTCTCCTCTCAAACTGTTCCCCTGATGCTGTGGAACTGTTATCCCTAAGCCTTCTCTGTATCCCACAGCCTGGCATACATTCTAGAACTGGATTCTGCTCAGCCTTTTGGAGAGCTGTTTTAGTTTGATACACCAGCACTGTCCATGTGGTGGACCTAAAGTTACCTAAAAATCCTGAAACTTACACACAGTGTAGAGAACTTCTGGCAGTGCAAGTGCCAGGGATGCTGCACTGCAACGTAAAAGGTGATACTCAGGAAGGGGTTCTCTGGGTTGGGAGAGTGCGACCAACTCTCCAAACACTACTGGGCGGCTCCTGTCACAGTCCAGTTGGACAGACAACACTCTTCAAAGACCAATCAGCTGTATCTCCACCAAGAAGGCCAATGGCCTCTTTTCATCCTGACTTACAGAGATGTCACCGTAAGCTTCAACAAGTTACTTGGTGAGTCCTCACGGTTTCCTCCTCTGCAATGCAATTAGGGGCATTCCCTACTCCTCATCTGCCTCTCAGCTACTCAAAGGGAATTTTCCCCTTTTTTGTGTTTTCCCATAAATTAGCCTTATAGATGGGTCAAACTGATCTGTTCAGATTTCCCCTCAAATTTCCCTTCACCATACTGAAAATGTCTGTCTTGATACTGAGCTACTTTCTTCTATGGCCCATCTATCTCCCACCACACCAGTCCACCCCCTGACTAGACATCCATCCTGTATTATTTATTTGGCACCAGTTATATGATGAATATGACCCAAACTCTGGGGTGGACTCGAGAAAATTATAACCACTCCTCTCCCTCTAGTTGGAGACAAATACTTGGGAAGCAGGAGCGAGCAATACGAAAGAGAATGACCTCAGTGACAGAATGTGTGGCACAACACATGGGCAATGAGAGTGAGGGGAGGGACGAGATGAAGCAGGCCTGTCCATCCAGGCAAGGCAGCCGTGGTGGGCAAGGATCAGGGGGCAAGGGTGACAGGACAAGCTAGAGGTGCAGGGGGAAATGTGTATGCACAGAACATGTGACTACATGGTTTCAGAACAAAACCTCATGGAAAAGATCATTGAAATGAAAGTTGGAGCTTATTAAATTTCAGTAGGCCCAACCCAATTTCTCGTCCTTCCCAGTCATGTGGATACATGCTAATTTCTTTGACAGCCTTATATAAAGTTCTTAATGTGATCTGAGTCCCTTAGAGATTAGCACTATTATAAATATAAATGTTCAAACACAACCAAGTTGAAACAAAATGCCCCCCAAACATTGGCTTTCTGTTAAATGCAAGTTTTCAGTTGTGCATTGAGCTCTTGGATAAACGAGCTAGCAAACAGAGTGAAATGGGGCCGCTGGCTAGTTCTCAAGGCCCGGCTCCTTCACAGGAGGGAGCAGACTCGGTAGCTGCTCTCTACGTATATAATCTAGAGCAGCTGGCAGGACAGCTTTGGATGACAGTCTGAAAAACACTAATTCAGAACACCGAGGTGGGGCTTGGAAAGGAAATGCTGAGATCCTGATCAAAACAGACAGTCTTTACTCACCGGCCAACCTGCCAGACCTCTCCTTTGGGCAGCCTATGGGAGGCTCACTCACAAAGAGTTATTAATAGATATCAAGGAGTTTGTTTATCTAACTAAGAGAAAACAGCGCTCAAGTTCTTCAGAAACATGTCTTTGACACCAAACCGATGTAGCTGTTCCGGGCACAGGAACGAAGCATACCACACTGTGCTTGGAGTTTTGATGTGGTCATTAGTCACTAAGCAGAACTGCCACTTGGCCACACCTTGTGTGCCCAATTCTAGGTACTTGAAATTTTAAAAACATACCTCTTTCAAGAAATTCTAAAATTCAGGGTATTTTTTCCCCCCATTAATTTGTATAAGCCTTGCCCAGAATTAGTCCAAAGGCCTGAGATTTGAGTGCCAAGTCAAGCAAGGGCAGAAGGGATTGCAATGACTGAATCTGTTCTTTAATCTTCTAGCATCTGTGCTTAGGGCTTTTTGTCAAACTAACTGGCCTCCCCATCCACACAGTGTTACTCCTTAATGTTCTTACTTTCTTACTACTAAATCATAAGGTGCAAAGTATTCCCAAGAGGCAAAACAAACAAATATACAAACACCTCACATGCCTGTTCTCAGACAGGCTCCCTTCCCATGGGAAGACAGGATTACTTGGGTTTGATGAAATTACAGAATATCCGTCATATAACAGGATGCCTCCACATCAGTCAGGTGATAAGGCTCCACCATGTCCTCAATTTTAATATTTCCTACCTGTTTGACAATGGCTTCTTCAGTAGAGAATACCAGAGGCTAGCAAACTGATACAACTTTGACTTGGTTTCAGATAGCATCCAATTCACATGTACCAAGATGCACTGCCCACCTGCTCTCTCCCATCTGAGAAGCTGCCTCACTGATTGGCCTCTGATTCGGCACCTCGACCTTCCACCCTTCCAGGAGGCAGCCTGATGGAGAGGCAGTAGCACTTAGACAGCCTACATCCCAGCTGGAAACCCACAGTGATCCTCAGCTTGTCCCTCTTCCCTCCCCACCGCCACACCATCACTGCCATCACTACTGTGTGGATATCTCCTCTTTCTAATCCCACTGATGCCAGACCCCTTAACCCCACCATGTGACTCCTGCTCTCCCTCTGTGACGTCATCTTGCATCCACCAGCACTTGGCACTGCCGCTAGTGGGTCCTCTTAAACCACCAAAGCAAGTGTCTCCTTCTCACTCATCCAAATGCCCTGAGTGGCTCCCCATAATCCACAGGGTGAACTAGCCCTGACCCCTGCCTCCAGCCTCGCCTCTCCCCATGCCCACCTCATGCCTTCACCTCCATGTAACTACCAGCAGCATCAGCCTGCAACCTCATGCCTCCAGCTGACCCTGGCTCACACCACATCCTTGTGCATGCAACTTTCTTGACCTAGCCCCAACACCTCCCCATCACACCCGCTTCTCATTCTGTCCCATCTCTGCTCACACTGAGCTCACTGTCACAGGTCTGTCTCTGCCTCGAGGGCAGTGCCTGCCTATTACTCATCTCTATCTTCCAGGTTCAAACAGTGCCTGGCACCTGGTAAACCCGTGGAAGTGTTTGCAAAATGAAGCAAAGTTAAAACTATGCTCAAGAAAGACAGACGCATCACGCATTGTAAAAGAGCGTAGGAACTGTCTGGGGCTGGGACAGAAATATGGCATGTGGCAGAGTCTAGAATGTGAGTCAGATTTCCAAATCTACTACTTCATAGCTTTAAGAACTGGCCAAGATGTCTAAAGCTGCTGAGCCTGTTATTCATCTGTAAAGACAAGGGGATGGTCGCATCGGCTGCAAGGGCCGGCATGAGTGTGCCCCGGAGGGGGCACAGTGGGCAGGCAGCAGAGGTGCCCTTGGTCGGCAGGCCTGAGCTGAACACAGACTCCGTGAAGGTGCTGCACTGGGGCATGGGGAGACAGCCGGGGCTGAGCAGAGCCTCAAGAGATGGACAGTCAACTTGACAAGGCAAAATAGCCTCGTTTTGTAAGGTTGAGAAACTCTGCGGCAAGGCAGTAAAACCAGGTGAGTCCCAAGGCTGAAGGCTCTCCATAGGTTGGCGCAGGATACGCAGTGTGAGCTGGGGCTGGGGAGCTCTCTGGGGCTGAGGGTTGGGACAGAGATGGTGTACGAGGAGGGTCCTAGTCCATCTTCTGGGATGGAAGCTGCAGGAAGCTCCGGAGTCTAGGGGATGGTTCCAACTGGGTCTGCTGCTTTCAGTCTGCGTCTGCTGCTCTCTGCTGCCCCCTGTTGGTGTGGCAAGGGAAGAGTAGGATGGTGGCTAGGATGGAATGGAAAGAGGGCTGGGCAAGCAGGTGTGGGTCAGGAGAGCAGCAATGGGGCGGTAGTGGGTGTGGGATGAGCAGGGCCTGCCGGGGCCACCACAAGCCCTCTCCCCTCTGTCACACCCTCTCTGGCACCCCCAACCCTGGCTTTATTCTCTGTAGGTCAGAGGCTCATCCTGCATCTCCCAGGTGAGGGCTACTGGTGTGACCACGGTGAGGTGCACTAGTCTTTTGGGGACATCTGCTTGGCTTGGCTTGCCTGAGAGCATTTCCCAAGTAGAGCCAGAAACCACTTCTGCACTGAGCCCTGAACGCCCCCAGTTCATATTCATGAGGTTTGCTAAGAAGAAAAAAACAGAAAAGACTGAGAGGACAGAAGACAGGGAAGGGAAAGAGGGGAGGGAAGCAGTCAGCACAGAGCCTTACCCAGGAGCCCCGGGGCAGGGCACTGCCCCGAGGGGGAAGCACAAATAACTCTTCTGCTCCCCCCAGCCCAGTGCTTTGGCCTTACAAAGTATAGGTCTTAGATCAGCTGACATCAGAGGCTGGGTAATTCTTTGTTGGGGGAGGACATGGAGGGATGTTGGGCACATTCCCGGCCTCTACCCACTGAATTCCCATAGAAACCCCTGCCGAGCTGGGACAGCCAAAAATTCTCCAGACCTTACCAACTGTCCCCTGGGAGGCCAAGCCACCCCGCTGAGAAGCCCTGCCTTAGAGTACTGGCAGGCCAGACCCAATGGCCTGTTCTTCCCCCATCTCACCTGTACCTGAGCACTAAATGCCATGTATCCACCTGCCCATGCCCTTGACATTCATAGAAACAGAAACAGAGACTTCCCTCCGAGGCCAGGGAACTGCTCCCCAAGTCCTGATTTGGGTGGTCCTCTCTTGCTCTGCTCAGTGACCGCATGACCCCAGGGGACTCGGCCTGGAGTCCTGACTGTCCAGTTTCCTGGGCAACAGGAGATTCAGGTGAGCATTGGCCCAGAGGCAGCGCTAGGGTGGAGGTGCAAACGGTGGAAACTGCTCTCCGTCTTCTTCGTTTTCCCTCCTCTGAGCCATTTGCTCAATAAGAAAAAGCCCCAGTGGCTACTCATGTGAATAGGAATCTGGGGCCACCCTCCTCCAAATTTAGTGCTGGAGCTGCAAAGGAAAGCCTTTTGCACAAATAAACAATTAAGCTAATTGTGGGTCTGACAATGACTTTTTTTCCTGAGGAATTAAGGATCCGAATGGTGTTAGGCTTCCAAGCTGAGCCTCTACCAGGAAAAACCAGAATGTGCAAAGCTGAAGAAATAGGGTCTAAGCCCCCTTAATTTTTAAGTGAAGAAATTGAGTCCCAGAGAGGTTAAAAGCCAGCCATCATGGAAGCCAGGACTGGACATATCATGAGGAATATAGATTTATGTAAGTTCCTAACGCTCCCCAACACCCAGTCAGGCATCAGGAAATCAGGACCAGGAGGGTGGTCCTGGAGGGTCCCCTCAGAGCATGCGTCACTAAGTATGTGCACACCTCCAGACATGTCTTATTTCATGGAAACCCTTTGCCCAGGGCTGGTCCCTAAAACCATGCAAGAGGCAACTGAACAGAGGCCCACAGAGGGGCACCTAT